TACGTGCTTTAACTATAATATATATATATATATATATTAATCTCTAATTTTCATACTGATATGTTATTATTTTGCAGACGTTTACCAAAATTGTGTATCCACGCAGAGACGATCCCGGTCTGCCGACTTGTTGCGAAGAATGTTACGCCAAGAGCCTGGAAAAACATGCTTTATTAGAGGACACGTACAAGCGAATACGAGAACTGGAGAATTTAATCGATTCGGAAAACTGGTAATTATATAGAATGTAATTTGGGAAGTAAGAACATTGTATTGCGTGGATATTCTCGGTCAATATATATGGAACAACTCTGCTCAATTTATGTCGATTGGTCCTTGTCTTAAAGGCAACCCCTCCTAAAATTCTTCTAATTTAAAAATACGTGCATGACTTTTGCAGTAATTGTTGAGAGTAAATGGCACAAATACTTTGCGGTGAGAGTGACGGAATGCCTCCCAACTTCTTGCACAATGTTGGGGCGATGTCACTACTATTATATACCATGACACTCTGTTGCTCTGTTGTGGAGCTTGTCAGACTACCTGCTTATTGATGAAACAACATTTCATTCAGTCTTAACATTAAACATTAGAAAGGCGTTTACATAAACGGGATTAAAATTCCTGAGTTGGCGTTAGAAATTATGTTGAACGCACTTAAAAAAACAATATTTAATAAGGTGAGTTTCGCATCGACGGATGCCACCTACGGCGGCAATTGTAATCAATAATACCGTCAATACTCGAAGATGGCGCCCTTCCTTCGTTTAGCCAATTTGATACTATTGTTGCTCAATCAAACTATGTACGTGTGTAGATATTAATTTGGACGTTTTTCATGTTTTCAGGAACGACTCCGGGAGTAGCAAACATCAGTACAATGGCAGGCGTGATGATATGGCAGCCGCAACACGTGATCGGGATACAAACATCGTTAGTAGTGAAGTCATGCCCGATGATTGCCGAGTTGTTTACCAGTCCATAGGAGAAATAACGAACACTGCCGCAGAATCCATTGATGCAATTGAGACATCTTTATGAAAATGGAACTAAATTTACCCCATGATGTAGATGCTGTCGCCACCAATACGTGTTCGCTGTTTTTGTGAATTAAATTTGACTATTCAATATTGAAATGATATTTATGCTAAAATTTAACACAAGACCGGGGCACACTGAGACATGGGATATTATTAGGGAATGAAGGTTGGGAGTAAAATTATGAATAGAAATTTTGGAATAACAATGATTTTTTATAAGTTCTTCTATTTTTAATGATTTTGGGTCTTAGTTTTTAGTTCAAATAATTACATTGAGCTATACGCCAGATGAAAGATTTTAAAAACTTTTTCCGCACAAATCTAATACCAACATTTTATATTTAATTTTAACCTGTTCAACTTCTTTTTTCATTAATATTTCGCTAGTTAAATATACGTTTTATATACCAAAGGTATTATATTTATTGGTATTATGCATTTCAACATTTTCATCGAAATATGGTTATTCATTATATTTACCTGAACATACTGATGGGATAAATCAGTACACCATTATATATTGCCAAGTCGAATAGTGTACTATTTTTTTAGTTACTCGAACGTTAATAGTCATATTTTACTTTAAGTACATCATATGGTAAAAAACATGATTTTTATGAAAACAAATTACGTGTCTATGCGTACGACTATTGCACTACTACCCGCCGTGTAGACATGTGTTAATAGAACAGTATGACAACTTAAACCAGACTGATGGGACCTCGATGTGTTAGTTTGGGATAATAAACAAACAAATAATCAACACATTTTGTATTGGGATTAAAAATACTAGTATATTTGTTGGGTAGTTCTAAAACTTTAAACATTTACAATGATAAAGTTGGATATTATCAATATACGTATTGAATATTTTAATAACTTAACACATTTTGTTCTGAGAAAGTCCAATGAACTGCATTTACACCTTAAGCGAGTGAAATGAGCTTCAAGTCTACAAATTCAGTGAGATTGAACAATTTAATGCAGTAAATGAGACTAATGCCATTTACTTTGAAAGTTAAAAAACATAATTATAACCGGCTTCAAACGTTTGGCTGTTACAGCTCCTTCTCGCGTACGTTTTCAAAGTTCAATCGCTTAACATTTATAACAGTATATTCCTGAATTTGTACCAAGTCAGATTATGCCTTATACTGTGAACGCTAGCGTTGGTTTAAATCCGATAGCAGTTAAATCAATAAAATACTGGTTTCAATTTACAAAAACTAACTCTATTCCATGCCTGGTATGCACACCAAGTACATGGTGGTTGGTGGCTATTTAATTAGTTTATTGTCACGATGAAGGCGTCGGTTAGTGTACAGTGTAAGCACGCTGAGAAAATTACTCACATTATACCACTAGATTAGGTTCTTAATTACTGGCATATCTATCATATTTATCAGGGATACAATAAAGAGTTCATGCCGACAACTAGCTAATTGACATTCTTTTTTTAAAAATGTACAATATAACTTAAGAAGATATGGTATAGTTTTCAGTGGTGCTGTAATCGACAAGACTTGGTTTGTCCACTCCACGCATGTGTATGAAACATGTATCGAACAATTTGTAGACTTTCTCGTAACTTGATGTTCCATTAGTCCATTAAACAAATGTGAGCGTTTAAAACAACAGCACACTTACGTGTTAGAATTACAATTAGAAAACAAAAAGACCCCCCCCCTCGGTGATGACTATTTATTTCAAATTAAACAAAATAACATCTGAACAATGAAAGCTTGCATATTGTAGTTTGGTTCTATATTTAGGTTAGTATATTTGTGATAATAATTTACTGTTTCAATTTGGGAGTGTGTTTGTAATTGTAGTCTAAAACACGAAATATAGCATGTATGCTGATAGTCCATTATCTATGACTACATCGGGAAACAAGCAATGAGCTTTCTGAGAGACCCTTCAAGAGAGAGTCTTCACGGGGGTGTTCGGTTATGACCTATATTCGACGACACTTTGGTATGGCGAAGCGTGCTTTAGAATTATTTTATAATTTGTTGACCGCCAATAGAAATATATATTTTGAGGAATTTCATATTTTCATATAATGACTACTGACACACAACCACACACAATTTGGATAACTTTGCCTTGATCTATCTACGTCATGTTGACGTCACGTAAGAGCTTCGTCGCTAGAGGGCGCGCCGTCTAAGCACGATGTAATGCACGTGCTCTGAACACTATATAGCGAGGGTTTCTAAATTGAAGTATAGTGTGCGAGAGTTAATCACATCCTCGTTAAACAATAAGGGGGAAATAGCGGCCAACCTTCAATTAAAAACAGTCATCAACTTGGAATTGATTCCCAGCGAGATTAGAAATAAAAATAAATTAATCACACTTGTGATGTGTCACAGATCTAACCGTGATAATGCGCCATTGTCGTCGGCACTGATAACATTCGTACGGTTTGATTGGTCATATTTTATACTCTATGTATCAAGGTCGTGTTATTATACGAATGTAAATGATGTGTAAATTGTTATATGTCTTTGGCAAACTGGGCGTTTGTAATTTTCTAAACGAATATGCCGTTCACCCATCGTTAATTTTGCTATCCCAAATAATCCCGTGCAAAAATAAATGAGGATAGATGTATTTAATAAACATGCACGATGGCCGTGAAATGTACACAGTGGGTAAAATAGAATGAATGGTCGGGTAACTGGATACTCTGCTACTCGTTGATGTGTATATTGCTACTTATTATATTCGAGTTGCTAGGATTAGTTTGATCATGATCATTTCCAAACGTGTCATCCGAGAACATCCGATAATGATACATTATATTTTCAAACTTTGAAACAAATATATAGATAAACCGGAATTATAGAAAATCGTCCTTCTGTTTGACACTCGCTCTTTAAATGAATAGTCGCTTTCAAACAAGTTAACACCACACCGCGATCCACGTTCGGTCAAGTCATAGACCTTATAGTTATTCAGTGAATGCATGTATTCGAGAATTTCGGGTCAACTGTATATATATTTTTAATCAATAATGACGTCGTAAATTCACAGTAGGTGTAAATTTAATTACATTTTATGATGCTATATTGAGAAAAATTCAATCTTGCGAATTTCATATCCTTACCCACTTAAGTACTGTTATAAATTGTCCGGTTTGACACCACATAACGTCGCTTAGTATGCCGGTAACGGCCTTAGGTTGGTTAACAGTGATGGAGATCACGTTTGACATAGATGGTAGTTCTGAGCACGATGTGTTATAGAATGAACACCTTTTATTGGGGATTTATTGTTTCTGCGTCATGATTTTAGGTGATAAAAAGTGTTTCATCGTCGATTGATCGTTCTGGATCATTGCACGATACTAGGGTCATGTAAGCACTGGACACTCATAATGAGCATAATACGCAAGGTCGTTCAAGGCATCTATTAACAGGCGATAATTTATAGGTATTCGTATCTCAGTGCAGTTTGATTTCTGCTAATTCCATTAAGGTAAAGGTTACGGGATCCGAACGTAGTAAGGAAGAGAATCTTTTAGATATATTAATGATTTTTTTTGGACGTTGACGAAAGCCATTCGATGAAACACTAATTTGAGCAGCGTTTTTCCAAATTGTTGATCTTTTGATAAGCCTGGATGATGTATCACGGTTTAAATTAACCGTTTTATCAATTTTTGAAAAATCTAGAAAAAATGAAAAAAAAATTTCTTGCTACCTTAAGTCGGAAAATAATTCAATATAAGAATTTTTCGATATACAACATGTTATTTTTCTGTATAGTCATCATTGTGTAAATATTCCTCTTAAATAAACGTGTCATAGTCGATGTGGTTTGCAACTGCAACCATTTTATATTAACTTTTAAAATACAATTACACAAAAGTAATCCCCTTTATGCTGTAGACTCAAATATTTATACACTACTGTTCGTGTAAGAGTGGAGCACGAACTGATATTTATAATATCCCTCCGCTTAGCTTCCACGCAGTCGTCCCGGTCCCATGAGAGCGTCGACAGCACGGTCGCAGTTGGAAGTCACGCGGGGATGACAATGATTTTATCACGTCATGTATATTTCACGGTATGTAAATAGCGTTGAAATGGGAATTATATAGAATGCTATAGATGATTATCACTCCATGGTCTCTATTTTTAGACAACTCGAGTTTCAGAAATAAAATAAAATTTTGCACTTTCGTTATTTAAAAAAGTGTTACTTGTGTTTGTCATGTAATAATTATACGGCCATCACCTCATCGCTGTACCTTGACAGATTCTACGCAACCTACGTGTATTTAATTGCGCCCTCTTCTGCAATACAAGGAATATTTTCTTCAATGCATTGTCCAAAATCGATACTTCTATAGTAGGTATCCTAAGATGTCCTTCTCAGTCAGACGGAGATTGAGCTGACATTTTACGATCGGTTACTTGAGGGATAAAAATCCAAATAATTGGAACAGTTAACTCTAATTATTGGTTCCCTAATTTTTCACTATATAGTTTACTAACGACTCAGTTATCGTTCACATCGCTACATTTGATTTATGATAAATTGTCACATGCCACGCCTAATACTTTAGAGGCGCTTCCAATCACATTCGCGACCTCTCGTGACTGCCCGGGCTGCCCGTGTCGATTACCAATGAATGAGCCCGAGGATCGAGCGTCAAGGGAATTCGAGCTCAACTATGTGCGGTGTTTTTTTCTGAATATTTTATTTATTTACATGTGATACAAATGGCTTCGTGACAGAGTAGAACGGCCAGTATCGTGTAATATTTACGACGCCATCGGCCGCTTCCTCAGTAGTACCGCGTTATAACACATACTAGTCCAAATCAAATACCATTATGAGGTGCGTTTTAGCAATGAGTCTACACTCCTTGTGGCGACTAAGGGACGTATATGATATTTATCAGACAGTGTGTCTTTTCGAGTGAAATTCCATACAACCAGGTGCTGTAAGATTAGGGTTTTTCACGTTGATCGATTCGTTCACTGT